ACAGAAAGAACATGTTATGTACATTGAAAACTTGTTATGCACACATATACATAGAAAACATGTCATGTACATTGAAAACACGTCATGTACACATATACAGAAAAAACATGTCATGTACATTGAAAACTTGTCATGCACACATATACAGAGAAAACATGTCATGTACACAATGCCAAGTACATTGAAAACTCGTCATGTGCACATAAACAGAGAGAACATGTTCTTGTTCTTTGAAAATTTGTCATGTTACATCAATCAATTAACATTTACTTATCTTAAAATTCATGCTCATGGTTTGGTTTTCTTTTTCAATTGCTGTTTGAATTAATGAGCAGAATTATAGTTAGATATTGTGTCTATTCTATTTGTGATAAATTATCAAAATTATCACTTAGTTGATACGGTATTACGATGACGATATTACAAATATGCATTAATTACTTACAGGACGTGTTTAAATTGACAATAGGTCGTGCTAGTACATCTCCCCCTCTAGAATTTAAAATTGTTTTTCAATCTCTAGGCCACCTTCAGGCTTCATGTTTTAGACCCTTAACATCACAGGAGGAGTCCTTGAAGGACGAAACAGCTGTATGGTTTTATTCATTGTTTAGCTCTACTGTATCAATCTCTTAATTTGTATTAAATGTGTTATTCATTGGAGTGTCTTTGGTACAATGTTCGAGGCCTTTTAGTACAAATTGCTTCCTCTTCACTCTCGCACTGAAAAAGCACATTTTAAACTTCACGAAACCTCAAAACATATCTGAACAATTTACTCTAAAAAACCCATTGATATTGCATAATGAGATATTCAACAGTGGTAAATGGATTTCTCAAAACAGGAGTGTTATTAAGGAAAGCTTACTATAGTAAGTCAAACTAATGTACATTCCACTACATTACATTTATCTGATTATAGAAGCTTTCTTTTATTGTGACATTGTGATAATTAAGGAAATCTCTCATTATCGTGAAATAACGATAATTTAGGACTCCTAGGGTTTAATGATTAAAAAGTAGTCCTGTTCGTAAGGAGACCGAAGTTATAAGACATGCAATCAAGGAAACAGAACGTTAATCAATTCTTATCACTATCAATCGATCTTCGCCCTCGATTTTATTGTCTATTCTTATATTCAACACTCTTTTAGTTTTGTGTGGTTGCTAAGGAATAAACGACACTTTTGTAAGTCAAATATCGAATACAAAAACCAAATAATTTAATCTAAAATCAGATATTATGCAGTTTAGTACAAATCTTGATGTAGAACATAATGCGTCCATGTTTTATGAATTAAAACTTGTGGTATTACTATATTAAGATATCCTGGTAATATGACAGCAACTAAGCGACTATCTTTAACAGTTAAACTGATAACAGTAGTTATGCCGTACCTTGCTTTACACAGAGCCAACACCAAGAGACTTTCTAATGATCTTATTGTCATTTTCACCTGATACACAAATTGGAATTTTCCTCGTCAATATTTACATATGTTATTTGTCTTTACTAAGCTGCATGGGTCTACCGCTATCTCACACACTTAGATCTAAGACCATTTATTGGGGAAGTATCAACATACCCCACAGAGAAATTGATACGGGTAATGTATTGTTCTACGGGTTTTGTTTTAGTGACAAGGTCACACCTTATGTCTGACGGAGTGAAAACTATCAATGACTGTCATGAATTATTTTTGGTATTCTAAACAATTCCTGTATATCTGCAAACCTAAAACTATTGTAAATATAAATCTATTGGACAGTTGTGTCTATATTTACAGGATATTTCGATGATTGCTGTCACTGATATGAATGAAATGTTGAGAGCATGCCAGTCCATGAGTTATAAAAGTACATCCTAAAATTCTAGAGGGCCATAAGAATATTCCACTTTTAATTTATATCTTTGTTATGACTTACTGTTTCCATATTACAGTATATACATAATTTGCTATATTCTCAAAAAAAAAAAAAAATAATTGGAATTTTCTTGGCATTTTTACTCTCTTCAAAATGCATTTGTTTATAAATATACAATGTGTTTTCAATGCTTCAGCCCAGCAGTTTCGTGCTGTCCTACTTGTTGAATCGCTAAGTACTGTTGTATCACTTTTAAAGTGTTGTACTTTTTATCAACTCACTGTCCTCTTACTGTCTGTGTGTGGCTTTTAATGTCAAAAAACACGTCAGATTATTATCTGACAAAAAAGTTTTTATATTTTAACATTTCACTCGTTTTCACACATATATCATGGTTATCAAGATATGAACTAAATGGAAACAGTTTTCATCATATAGTTAATCGGAATGACTCGGCATGATGTCTTATAAAAACGTTAATTGATGACGCTCTAGTTAAAGTTAGTGACAGTTCTGAATATGTCTTTATCAATCTTGCTAATATTATATTCTTTATCAAATAGAAATAAAAAGTGAAAGAACTAAAATATCACGAAAGATGATAATAAACTCTGTACTTTGTTGCTCACCACTAAAAGCCCCAGAGAACAGCAAATTCCCAATCAGATATTATTTAGGAGTGATATAAAGAAGAGAACAACAGTTTTGGATGTTATCCGACTGATCCTGATAATCAGAGCATGGAACTGTAGATATTAGATTCTATGAGGTCCCCACCGGTTGTTGTCGACATCTTGTGATAGATGAGTGGCGATGACCGATGATAATAATGCATCAACTCGCTGTACTTAGCGATGTGTAGAAAACCTACACATTATTGTTTTACAATCTACACTCTAATATCATAGGGAATTCAGCATGTAATCTTCATTATTTTTATTTAAGGATTGCTATGGATAGATAATCGACACATTTAAGTAGGTATGTACAGGAAGTTGTAGGGATACAAAAATAACAGGAGCAATGATCACATCTATAATGATAACAGAAACTGACACTAGATTAACACACACCACTGCGACAGCAACAGTAGCAGAAAACCATGGAATTACTTCAGAATGCAGATATATAGAGAGAACATTAAGATAAACTGTGAAATGGAATTATATTCTTTAAACGTTTTCTGCTTAATAACAAATAAAGAATTGTTAATTGGGCATGACTATATGACCTTGATTACAACAGAGTATGGTACTAAGATCATGGTGGGGACATCCATAGATCTCTTTATCTAACCTGTGTAACATTCGAGCTATATATAAAAGTCTGTAATTCTTATCTAGCATCGATATAAACTTAAACAAATAGCAGAGCTTCGTCACAAGTGTTAATAACAGAAACCTCGATCGATAGGTATTCCCAAGGAACCAGGTACACATCCTAACAAAAGGAGACAAAACAAAATGGACGCTTACATATGGAATCCTTTCAACTTCTCGGAAATATTTTCAATTCAGTGATCGATTATCAAGGACTTTTCACGTATATCGGGCATATAAAGACTTGACTGCAAGAACCTTGACGTGAAATCAATTACCAGTCAATGATTTTCACATGAAATAAGTTATAAATAGAAAAGTGTTCGATTGCATAAGAATCAATCAAGTCAGTATGGAACCTACATCACCGAGATTGAGAGATTACACTTCGGTATTGTGCAATGATTCTAAAATATTGAATATCATATAGGTTGATTAATTGATTATTTTTGTATTTATTGTGAGTAACTTGCGATAATTACACTTTTTATATACATGTTGAGGTTTCCCTTGACAACCGACATCATTATATACCTAGTTTTTGTTGAGGACACTTAACCCTGTTTAACAATCATGTCCATGTTCATCCAATCCCGATATTCTTATAGCCTATTAATACAATGTATGACTATTCATTGCTGAGATCATAGCACCATCTTTATATAGTTATACTTGAGGACCTGGTGCTGTACCGACGTTCCGACAATGACATGAGTGAGAAACTTACCGACTCATTGGTGTTTCTATGTCAAAATACACAAGCACATAACACGATGCATTTTACATTGTATGTTCATTCAAAGCCTTAGGATTTGAATTACACGTCATAACTCTGTTTAAAACCAATATATCATTGGATATAACTTAAAAGTTACTGAAGTCTAGTGATTTAGTCGTTTCTCTATTATATTCTAGAATATGTCTAGTAAAAATTTATTCTCAAGAAGTTAATGTTGTCTATATATATTCATTCAAATTCAAATCTTCCTGTTTTCGATATTAGTGTCCTATATTACACACACATTATCGTATTTAATTCGTTAACACGTGGTAGGAAAATCTATTCACATGGACCAACCTATCACCTTTTAATGTCAGAAAGAGCCCACGTCAAACGGATTGATGTTATTTCTGACGCACTAGATGTAACTGCCGTAAAATCATATGTACATTACCTAAATGTTGGTATCTCAGAACGCTTAGTCGTAATATGTGAACATTCAAGGCTTCTGCATATTTTAATAATATATTCCTTTATAATTTATCAATATGATAAAAAGCGTGCCTTCACAGGTTTTTGGATAGTTAAATTTCTGTCAATGCGTAAATGATTTTTTCGAATTTAAGAAGAAAGCCACTTGGTGCGTGTTTATCCGTGCATACCAAACAAATTGCTATTTCTGGTCGTAAACTTTTAAAATGAAATAGAAATATTAATGTGCAGATTAACGCCACATACCCATTAGTAGATATATATATATACATTTAGTTTTGGAATGACGTTGAAAACTGGAAGATATGGCCTGCGGGTTTGTTTGCTTGTTGTGTGGATAACATTAATGTACAGGTATATGTCACTCTCCAGAACTATTTTTCACAGCACAAATGCTTCACAGATATTTTCGTGAAAGCGTTCGCGGTTGCTATTTTCTAGGCTTTTTTCAGATTAATTCAACCGACAGTCATTGTTGTGAAGTGTATCTCCTTAGATTGTAGAATTGGATCTAGATAATCTAGAAATGGAAAATAAACAAAAACAAAAAAGATAAACGAAAACAAAACACAAAGACAGAAAAAGAAAAAAACGAAACTCACCTTTCGGCCCGCTCTGTTATTATGGAGATTCATTAACGGCCTTGAATTTTGTTCTATTTCGCGAGCATCTAAGAATTTCTTTGAGAACTTAAGTCCATGTCTTATGTCCGCACTACAGCCACCCCAAGTCCAACCACGTGAGGTGAATTTGCCCTTCCTCTTAGATTTATCACAACTACAGCGTTTTAATTTTCCCAAACTACAGGCTTGTGTTATAGCATACGTTACTCCAGCCGACGTCACAGCATATGAGAAGGCAGCTTCTTTACTTGCTGGAAAGAGAACACAAACAGATATATTAGAGAATATTGACCTCTCATTAAAGGTTACTTGCAAGTTTCTTTTATTCTATTACTATACTTATGGTCTTTTTGTGACGTCAGTATGAAATCTGTGAAGATATGACGTCATTTCAGTAACCCTTGCGTCACAATACACTATAATATTACGCAATACGCATAAATTATTAAATCGGTATGATCACTCAATGAAATGACATTGTCAGTCACCGCCAGCACAATATGACGTCGACAACGATGATGATGATGATGATGATGATGATGATGATGATGGTTAAACGAAGACTTCCTTTAAACAATTATTTAACATAAGATGAAATCGCGCTTGTTTTTATTGAGTAACAAACGGTCTTTGTTGTCCTTTTGTCGAAAGAGAAAAAAAACATCAAAATGATTTACTTAAGACCATAGCAAACAAACTATCTATCGATCAATCTATCTTATAACTTAAATTTTTCTACTGACGGTTTCGGTTTTATCAGCAGGATTAAAAACCACAGCACATCTGTCAATGGTTTGATTCTATTGATGAATATCTAAGAGTGATATGAATTGTTTATCCGTACTTGATAAAACAAACCTTATCATCTAAAATAGAACTTTAGCATACAAGGTAAGGGTATGGTTTCAATGATATTTTTGTTGTTCAAAGACACACAAGTGAATAGGCCTTTTGATAAACTTCAGAAAGAGCGAAGTACAGTTGAGGTAAAAATGATTTAGCTCCACCATACAGCTGTTTCGTGCATTTTGACGTTCTTTTGAAATTATCAGATTCATAAAATGACGAAAATTGTTTAATCAAGAGGCTGGTTCACCTTCCTATCAAACATTCTAATCGTTCGTTCGGTTTTCTCAGTCACCTCATAGGTTTTTTAATTCAGGCTCTAAACTCACTGACGAGTCTTAAAAGGACAAAACAGCTATATGATGCAGTTCTAATTCTAACGTGTTAAAAGGCGTTTTTCATACAATGTTCTCGGACGCGTCAAGGATGCTAAGTACCTAAAATGCTCAAATCTAGAAGGCGACCGAGAAAAATCGAAATTGTTGAAAACAGCTTGGCATTTGTAATTGAGCATATGGATGTTAAAATAAAATATATTTCCGCTATTTTCGCTACATTTACTATATTTCCGCCCAGATAATCACCATGTTCTGTATCGTATATGAGAGACAAACTCTCAATCAAGTTGATTAATAACTTTCCATATACGGTGATTGTAATCTAATATGTACGTGGTCTCGACCATATATAAACGAAATTTCGGAGACGCATTGCCTAATTAAACAATTTGCATTAATTCTGTGCATAAAACAAAATATGTCCACCTATGTGCCCCAAAGCCCCAGATTGACAGGTGTCCGAAACAATCATTCGAGATAGTTCACACGATGTAAAGTTTCAACACATTGGATCATCTTTCTTCACAACAATAGAATTACAACTATTCCTTGTTTGACATTATATAACCAGACACGTATCAACATCAACGTTTCATATCCTGGTCTGCCTACGGTTCATAATGCACAGTCTAGAAAAATTCATCTAGTGTTCCCTGTCTAAACGTCTCTATCTAGTGTTTCCTGTACAAACATTTCTATCTAGTGTTCCCTGTCTAAACGTCTTTATCTAGCGTTCCCTGTATAAACGTCTCTATCTAGTGTTTCCTGTACAAACATTTCTATCTAGTGTTTTCTGTATAAACGTCTCTAACTAGTGTTCCCTGTATAAACGTCTCTACCTTGTGTTTCCTGTATAAACGTCTCTACCTTGTGTTCCCTGTATAAACGTCTCTACATTGTGTTACCTGTCTAAACGTCTCTATCTAGTGTTCCCTGTACAAACGTCTCTATCTAGTGTTCCATGTATAAACGTCTCTATCTAGTGTTCCCTGTACAAACGTCTCTATCTAGTGTTCCCTGTACAAACATCTCTATCTAGTGTTCCCTGTACAAACGTCTCTATCTAGTGTTCCCTGTACAAACGTCTCTATCTAGTGTTCCATGTATAAACGTCTCTATCTAGTTTTCCCTGTATAAACGTCTCTATCTCGTGTTCCCTGTACAAACGTCTCTATCTAGTGTTCCCTGTATAAACGTCTCTATCTAGTGTTCCCTGTACAAACGTCTCTATCTAGTGTTCCTTGTACAAACGTCTCTATCTAGTGTTCCATGTATAAACGTCTCTATCTAGTGTTCCCTGTATAAACGTCTTTATCTATTGTTCCCTGTACAAATGTCTCTATCTAGTGTTCCCTGTCTTAACGTCTTTATCTATTGTTCCCCGTACAAACGTCTCTATCTAGTGTTCCCTATACAAACGTCTCTATCTAGTGTTCCCTGTATAAGCGTCTCTATCTAGCGTTCCCTGTATAAACGTCTCTATCTAGTGTTTCCTGTACAAACATTTCTATCTAGTGTTTCCTGTCTAAACGTCTCTATCTAGCGTTCTCTGTATAAACGTCTCTAAGTAGTGTTCCCTGTATAAACGTCTCTATCTCGTGTTCCCTGTACAAACGTCTCTATCTAGTGTTCCCTGTATAAACGTCTCTATCTAGTGTTCCCTGTACAAACGTCTCTATCTAGTGTTCCTTGTACAAACGTCTCTATCTAGTGTTCCATGTATAAACGTCTCTATCTAGTGTTCCCTGTATAAACGTCTTTATCTATTGTTCCCTGTACAAATGTCTCTATCTAGTGTTCCCTGTCTTAACGTCTTTATCTATTGTTCCCCGTACAAACGTCTCTATCTAGTGTTCCCTATACAAACGTCTCTATCTAGTGTTCCCTGTATAAGCGTCTCTATCTAGCGTTCCCTGTATAAACGTCTCTATCTAGTGTTTCCTGTACAAACATTTCTATCTAGTGTTTCCTGTCTAAACGTCTCTATCTAGCGTTCTCTGTATAAACGTCTCTAAGTAGTGTTCCCTGTATAAACGTCTCTACCTTGTGTTCCCTGTATAAACGTCTCTACCTTGTGTTCCCTGTATAAACGTCTCTACCTTGTGTTCCCTTATAAACGTCTCTATCTAGTGTTCCCTGTACAAACGTCTCTATCTAGTGTTCCCTGTACAAACGTCTCTATCTAGTGTTCCCTGTACAAACGTCTCTATCTAGTGTTCCCTGTACAAACGTCTCTATCTAGTGTTCCCTGTACAAACGTCTCTATCTAGTGTTCCCTGTACAAACGTCTCTATCTAGTGTTCCCTGTACAAACGTCTCTATCTAGTGTTCCCTGTACAAACGTCTCTATCTAGTGTTCCCTGTACAAACGTCTCTATCTAGTGTTCCCTGTACAAACGTCTCTATCTAGTGTTCCCTGTACAAACGTCTCTATCTAGTGTTCCCTGTATAAACGTCTCTATCTAGTGTTCCCTGTACAAACGTCTCTATCTAGTGATCCCTGTACAAACGTCTCTATCTAGTGTTCCATGTATAAACGTCTCTATCTAGTGTTCCCTGTACAAACGTCTCTATCTAGTGTTCCCTATATAAACGTCTCTATCTAGTGTTCCCTGTACAAACGTCTCTATCTAGTGTTCCCTGTACAAACGTCTTTATCTAGTGTTCCCTATATAAACGTCTCTATCTATTGTTCCCTGTACAAACGTCTATATCTAGTGTTCCCTGTATAAACGTCTCTATTTAGTGTTCCCTGTACAAACGTCTCTATCTAGTGTTCCCTGTACAAACGTCTCTATCTAGTGTTCCATGTATAAACGTCTCTATCTAGTGTTCCCTGTACAAACGTCTCTATCTAGTGTTCCCTATATAAACGTCTCTATCTAGTGTTCCCTGTACAAACGTCTCTATCTAGTGTTCCCTGTACAAACGTCTTTATCTAGTGTTCCCTATATAAACGTCTCTATCTAGTGTTCCCTGTATAAACGTCTATATCTAGTGTTCCTTGAATAAACGTCTCTATCTAGCGTTCCCTGTATAAACGTTTCTATCTAGTGTTCCCTGTATAAACGTCTCTACCTTGTGTTTAGTGTCCAAACGTATTTATCTAGTTTTCAATGTCTAGGTAACCATTTGAATTGCTATTTCAAGTTATATATCTGTAACCTTTAAGATTATTTTCTATATTTCATGCAGTTATAACAAAAGGCATTCTAAATATATGAAATCAATATTGAGAATGATCAGATTGATAGAAAATAAGAATATGAACAAGTCATTTTCTTTTTTAATTTAACGAACCAACTGACAAATATGTCTGGTCGTTCGATAAACTGACAGAACGTTGTTATATTGATTTAGTAGACTATCATTGCACCTTCATTGATCAGCGAGATATTCACAAGACGTTCCATTCATATATTGTCCTTCTGTGTAACAGATATTGACCTAAGAAACATCTCCGCGAGTACAACTTCCAAAACCTATTTGTCATTGTGTAGTATACAGTTGTATATAAAACACATCCAACTAATTATTGTCAATTAGTTAATTAAGCGCGAATAAGATGATATAAAGATATTGGCCGTTGTCCAATCTTGGGTAAACTCACAGGACTGAAATAACTGCTCATTTGTACGACAGATTATAAATGTGCCAATGTTATGACGTGTCCTATCATAACAGACAGCTCTAGTTGTTGTCTACGAATTATGTATGTGATGCCAAATTAGAGGCACGTCGAATTACTCAGGCTTTATGTATGACTATGACGAAGCAGCACAAACACGCGACCATGTTTACTATTGATTAAATCTAATTAACCCCAGTAAAGTAAAAGAATATTTGAATTGATGTAACCAAGCCCCTCCCCCCTCTCTCTCTCTCTCTCTCTCTCTCTCTCTCTCTCTCTCTCTCTCTCTCTCTCTCTCTCTCTCTCTCTCTCTCTCTCTCTCTCTCTCTATCCGTCTATCTGTCTGTCTGTCTGTCTGTCTGTCATGCTGTCTGTCTGTCAGACAATCTTTTATCCGCTGTGATTAACCATCGTCGCGTACGACCTGGAGGAAATA